AAAACTGATTATAATCATTATTGACATTTATTATTTTAACACGGTATTGATATCGGATTTTGAATGGACATTTGAATTTTTAAATATTCTGTTCTATTCAATAGTGTAATTGAAACAAAATCTGTGAGAACATTATGTCATAAATTTTGCATTGAAATACAAATTTAAATATGAAATAATACTTTAATTAAAAAAGCTGTATAGAAATAAATCTAGATTTTGTTCAAAACTTAATCAGTGAATAGTGAATGATTTCAAAAGAAACAACAAATAAACTACTTAGTAAATATATGTATGTATGTATGCTGTGTTCACTAAAATTTCTTATTAGAATTTGATTTTCAACATGAAAATATACATGAAAGAGAGATCGAGTTAGATAGATCGATAGATCGATAGATAGATAGATAGATAGATAGATAGATAGATAGATAGATAGATAGATAGATAGATAGATAGATAGATAGATAGATAGATAGGTAGATAGATAGATAGATAGATAGATAGATAGATAGATAGATAGATAGATAGATAGATAGATAGATAGATAGATAGATAGATAGATAGATAGATAGATAGATAGATAGATAGATAGATAGATAGATAGATAGATAGATAGATAGATAGATAGATAGATAGATAGATAGATAGATAGATAGATTTTTGAAAACCGAAAAAGTAACAAAAAGTTTTCTCTTATGTGTTCTCACTTAATCCGAGCTCTACTTAATTCCATGTTTCTAGGTTCAATATTATAGAAAATTCAAAAAGTACCATTTGAAGAACAAAAAAGTACCAAAAAGTCCCCTTTTATAGTTTCTCACCTACTCCGGGCTCTACATGTTTAATTTCATGTTTCTAGGTTCAATATTATAGAAAATTCAAAAAGTACCTTTTGAAAACCGAAAAAGTGCCAAAAAGTCTCCTTTTATGTGTTCTCACTTAATCCGAGCTCTACATACACAATTTCATGTTTCTACACAGAGGGAAAAATAAATATACACACCTGGTACCAAATTGACACCAAACTGTTTATAATTTTTCAATACCATCCGTTGTCAAAGTATATACATACGTACGAGAACACTATGTAATGTTGACAACATTGCAACAATTCGTTGTCGAAATCTTTATTTTATAAACATCCGTTGTCTAAATGTTAACAAACGTGGTAAGCTCTCTATTGGCAAACAATCCGTTGCTAATAGTGAGCTTACCACGTTTATAAACATTTAGATAACATTTGTTGCAATGTTGACAATGTTGCATGGTCAACATTACATAGTGTTGTCGTACGTATATATATACTTTGACAACGGATGTTATTGAAAAATTATAAACTCTTTGGTGTAAATTTGGTACCAGGCGTGTATATTTTCTTTTCCCTCTGTGTAGGTTCAATGTTATACAAAATTCAAAAAGTACCTTTTGTAGTACGAAAAAGTACCAAAAAGTCCCCTTTTATCTTACCTAATCCGGGCTCTACAAGCTTAAATTAATCTTTCTAGGCAAAATATTATAGAAAATTCAAAAAGTACTTTTTGAAATATAAAAAAGTATCTTTTTATGCGTTCTCACTTAATCCGGGCTCTAAATACTTAATTTCATGTTTCTAGGTTCAATATTGTAGAAAATTCAAAAAGTACCTTTAGAATAACGAAAAACTACCAAAAAATCCCCTTTTATAGGTTATCATTTAAAAGTACCCTTTGAAAACCGAAAAAGTACCAAAAAGTCTCCTTTTATGTGTTCGTTTCGAAAATATAATTTCTGGTTCCTTGACGAATCACTGTAATTTTTGCAGCGTTTAAAGCAACGTGTCGCGGCAATTGTGTTTGCTTTTCTTTACTAAACTTAAATATAAGTAATTGTAAATCTATTAGAACATTTTTTTAAAACTAAACTAATGATAGTTCTCTTTTAATAAAAACAATTTAATTGATCACAAAATATGTAACAAAAGAAATCGTTGCAATTTTTTTCAAATCATGAATTATTTATTAGTTTGTGGATAATGAGTTTATTAGAAGCAAAATGAATTAGATGAATTAAATGTTTAAAAAAAATAATTTTTTAAACAAAATAAATTAGTTTATACTTAAATTAATTTTATTTAACTACTTAAGTCAAATTAGCATGATGCAGTCTGTTTTTTTTTCTCATTCATACATATGTATGTATGTACATATGTATGTGTGCATGTGATTTGTTTGAGTCTACTCCTCCTGCACAAACATTTGATTTATGGTTCTTTCTAATTTTGTGCATTTTTTCTATGGCTTTGTTATTATTTTAAAAATATATTTTTTACGGTAATTTTTTTCTCTTTGTTAAACTTTTTTTAAAAATGGTTATTAAAAAATCAATTAAAATTAAATGTGTTTTTTTTAAGATTTATGTTTTTTTATTTGTTTGTTTGGTTTTTTAGAAATATTTTAACACTTTCGTAAGATTTTATTTAGAATATAAAAAAAATGTATATATAACTAAATGCCTGAGAGCGAACACTAATTAAACTAATTTATTTTTATTTATTCAAAAACATGTTTGTTAAATTATTAAAATGATTTAATTTTTCTTTTTATTATAGAATTCAAACAATTGAGGAGTTTTAAACGTAAAGAAACAGCTCGCTAAGAGTAAAAAAGGGTAAGTTGAACCATATTCAAAGTGCTCTATTTTTAAGAATGAGAATCATTTCTAGTTTTCTTATATCCAAATATTTTTAAGTGATATCAAATTATGAATATCTCAAACTTTTAGATTTGACAAAAATTTTGATTTTAAATCAATCTCAATTCCTCCACAATTCTTTATGTCGGTCTGTAATTACTCTTCTTTTTGGTCAATGTACTGTGATAATCTTATATCATCAAAAACTTAATAGTAATAAAATTAAATTAAAATTAATTATAAAAGAACTTATAAAGATGGAGTAAGCACATTTCTACTCTAAGTTAACTCTAAAACTTTTGTATAAAAAACACAATTTACTTATAGATTTTGTTCATAAATTAAAATTTTATTTATGATCTTAATTTTTCAACTTTTAAGCTATAAATAATAATCTTTAAATCAAAATTTAAATTACATTTTGAATATAAATAATAAAATTCTGAAAACGGAAAACTTTCCAACACCTACAGCAAAAATACATTAGGGGTTTTTTATAAAACTGTTTGTAGATCAAAATAATTTGCAATTTTATCATTGTAAGGTATTGATTTCGGAAGTAATTATAAAGCAGCTGTAAAAAAAGATAGATGGATGGATAGATAGATAGATAGATAGATAGATAGATAGATAGATAGATAGATAGATAGACAGATAGATAGATAGATAGATAGATAGATAGATAGATAGATAGATAGATAGATAGATAGATAGATAGATAGATAGATAGATAGATAGATAGAGATAGATAGATAGATAGATAGATAGATAGATAGATAGATAGATAGATAGATAGATAGATAGATAGATAGATAGATAGATAGATAGATAGATAGATAGATAGATAGATAGATAGTAGATAGATAGATAGATATAGATAGATAGATAGATAGATAGATAGATAGTGAGATAGATAGATAGATAGATAGAGATAGATAGATAGATAGATAGATAGATAGATAGATAGATAGATAGATAGATAGATAGATAGATAGATAGATAGTAGATAGAGATAGATAGATAGATAGATAGATAGATAGATAGATAGATAGATAGATAGATAGATAGATAGATAGATAGATAGATAGATAGATAGATAGATAGATAGATAGATAGATAGATAGATAGATAGATAGATAGATAGATAGATAGATAGATAGATAGATAGATAGATAGATAGATAGAATATAGAAATAGATAGATAGATATAGATAGATAGATAGATAGATAGATAGATAGATAGATAGATAGATAGATAGATAGATAGATAGATAGATAGATAGATAGATAGATAGATAGATAGATAGATAGATAGATAGATAGATAGATAGATAGATAGATAGATAGATAGATAGATAGATAGATAGATAGATAGATAGATAGATAGATAGATAGATAGATAGATAGATAGATAGATAGATAGATAGATAGATAGATAGATAGATAGATAGATAGATAGATAGATAGATAGATAGATAGATAGATAGATAGATAGATAGATAGATAGATAGATAGATAGATAGATAGATAGATAGATAGATAGATAGATAGATAGATAGATAGATAGATAGATAGATAGATAGATAGATAGATAGATAGATAGATAGATAGATAGATAGATAGATAGATAGATAGATAGATAGATAGATAGATAGATAAATAGATAGATAGATAGATAGATAGATAGATAGATAGATAGATAGATAGATAGATAGATAGATAGATAGATAGATAGATAGATAGATAGCAGTGCCTGTTTTTTATTTAAATCCAAACCAGGTACTAAACAAGTACTAGAAACCCTGAAATAAAATATAAATAAATGCATATTAACAAAAAAAAGAAAATTAAATTTATAATTGAACTATTTACAAAACAAACAAAAAAAATATAATACAAAATTTTAACGATTCGTTTATAATTTTGTCAAGAAAACTCCGTAACTTATATGATCGATGATGTAATTGCAACTTGCACTCTGTGAGTTTTTTCTATTTTTATAAAAATAAATATTAGAATCACAGAGCTGTAATCAAAGTATGAAAAACTAAATTAAAAAAAATACTAACAATATTAAAAAAATAAGTTAACGTTCGTTTTTGTAACAAGTTTTCTCTGAGCCGCCATAATAGGAAATATTCTTCAAAGCCCCCCAATATACTTGGCATATGACCATAATGATCGTAAATTGAGCTAGAAGTATAAACGAATGAATGAATATGTAGACAGCCAACGAATAGACTGACAGACAGACATATAACAAGGCAGCAGAGACATTTACAACTGAAAAAAAAGTTTCAATTTTAGATAGACAAATCAAAGTTTAAATGCATGTTGTATATCAAACGCTATATTCGTCTTATTTTTTTATACATTTTGGATCTGGTAATAAATTTTATTTTACAATGTCCTTCATTAAATGATCAAGCCCATGTTAACGTGCGTACAATCAACTTGTAAGTCAATCTTTGTCATAAATCTGAAGTTACCAAAAAATAAATAATTTTTACAAATTATTTATTTATTCAGCGCCTGTAAAATCTTTTAGATTAAAATGTCAAAATTTATGATTTTTTAAACATTTTTATGTTTATATGACGATTAGTCGCTTAATCCCCTTTTAATAGAAAATCTAGTCACAAATTATGATGACTTAATTTTTATTGAGAAAGAATAAAACATCATTATAAATCATCATTTGATTTAATTTGGATTTTATGGCAGGTGGGTGAAGAAGAAACATTTTATTTATCGAGAATTTTATGTTTTATTTATTGTTATTATGGTCTAAAATTATGGAGAGTGTTACATTTAACCCACTTAAATGATTATTAATCGTTTAGATATCAGATATATTTTTTATATTAAACGACTGATAACTTAACGTGACGTACATATGTATGTATATTCTGAGATTTTAAGACGCTCTAGTCAGGTCCGTCCGTCCGACTTTCTGTTTGTTTGGTATTGAAATTGGGCCGACTAGGAATTAGGTCGACAATTTCAGAAAATGACATTAATGCTAATAACAGTATAGCGGCGAAATTCAACATAAATAAGTTTTATGGAAACTAAAATATCTCTGTCAAATTATATGAATATCGCTCCGTATTATGTCCATGTCCCCTATAAGGGCCACCTTTCTCCCCATCTCTCTTTTAAATTCTATAGAGCTCATATGAAAGAAGTCGATGTGCTTTACATGAACACCTGCCTTGTTGGCCTTATTTCACGGTGGTGTCTCTTTCAACAAGGTGAGCTGATTAGACGACTCACCACTACATCTTTATGTTTCTTTCACGCCGTATACAAGCACTTCCAATCTCTAAACCTAGGCTAACTTCAGAGATGCAAAAACATCACTTCCATTTACAACAAAGCAGATGGTATGGCCTCTGTTAAGTCGGCAACAACACCTAGAGACGTAATGGGTAGACCAAAACACGAATCTATCAAATAAATTTGGTATGAACAGATTAAATCGTGAATATACTCGGAAGGATGGAAAATTCAATGGTGTCACATGTATAAGACACCTTACATCCATCACCCAGCACACTTATTGTTCATCCGACACATTAATAGAGAACCACATCCGACACACTCACACTAGGTATACGGGTGGGTGAGATCCGCGTACCTCTACATTCATTCTGCATCATATACATTTAACTCCCACTCATTTCCAACGCTTGGTGCCACAGACACTCCTCTGCCCGGCAACGGCACCAAACTTTTCCCGAATCATAGCATCATCATAGATAGGTTTGAACTAAAGGCAACACGTGCACCCCGAAGAGACCTTTATAATACAATGACAAGACAAGAGATTCACTAGCTCATAGTCCGCCAGACTAGAAGTACTGGTAGTACTTCTTTTACCGGAGTTGCAATAATAGATAGATGATAGATAGATAGATAGATTAGATAGATAGATAGATAGATAGATGATATGATAGATAGATAGATAAGGCATAGATAGATAGATTAGAAAGAAAGAAGATAGATAGATATAGATAGATAGATAGATAGATAGATAGATAGATAGATAGATAGATAGATAGATAGATAGATAGATAGATAGATAGATAGATAGATAGAGATAGATAGATAGATAGAGTAGATAGATAGATAGATAGATAGATAGATAGATAGATAGATAGATAGATAGATAGATAGATAGATAGATAGATAGATAGACAGAAAGAAAGAGAGGTAGATAGATAGATAGATAGATAGATAGAAGAAAGAAGAGAGTAGATAGATAGATAGATAGATAGATAGATAGATAGATAGATAGATAGATAGATAGATAGATAGATAGATAGATAAATAGATAAATAGATAGATAGATAGATATAGATAGATAGATAGATAGATAGATAGATAGATAGATAGATAGATAGATAGAGATAGATAGATAGATAGATAGATAGATAGATAGATAGATAGATAGATAGATAGATAGATAGATAGAAATGCTTCAACATTCTGAATTTGCTATAAATCGATTTCGAGAAATGAACCTGTCAAGGACGAGTTATCGATTATTTCCCGTGAGTTCACGTACAGTCACTGGTGTATGCGCAAGAAAATTCCGTTTTATACTTACAGATCGCCTGACACCCTTTAGTCATTTATGAATACTTTACATTACAAATTCTTAATGTCGTCTGGGGTGAACACTTTTTTAAGTGGTTTCAATTAAAAATTTAAATAAAAAAATTATTGAAATTTATTTTCTGTTAATTTTCTTTTTAGGTTGACAACATGGAGTTGGAGTGTGATTTAAGTAAAATTAATAATGAAGAATTGCTAAGAAAAATGGTAAGTTTAAAAATAAAAAAAAAAAACTAAAAACTTTCTTTAAAATATTTAACTAGTTTTTAATTAAAAAAAAACTTTAAAACAAACAAAGAAAAATAAAAAAATTATTAAAATTAAATACTAAAAATTAACTAGAAAGACAATAATAAATTAAAGAATATTAACATGATATCATCTATTTAATTTTGCTTTTATTTTAAAAGTTTTTAATACGTCACGTATTAGTAGTTTTTATAAATTCAAAACAATTATTCATAATAAAATTTAAATTGTTTACCTCATAATATTTAATTATAGTTGTGTTTTGTTGCTATCAATGAGTGTTAACGCTTAAAGTTAGCAACAAAACGAACATTACCTGACTTGGCATCACTCCACAGAAGAAATCTGCTAAATCTTGAAATTATTTACAATTTCTTGAAAAGGTTTTTTTATTTGGTAATTTTCTTTGATTTAAATTTTATTTTAAAATATTTTTTTATTGTTTGACATAAACACATTAATATTTGTATTTTTATTTTTGAATTGGTAGCACTTTTATCAACGTTAAAATTAACTTGTATAATTTTACACGTTAACTCCTAACGTTTATAAATTTTAAATTTATATGAAATTGCCTTTGAACGTTAGCAACAAAACACAACTTATGTTATCAAAAATTATTAAACAGATTCAAAAAAAAAAAAACAAAACAAATCAAAATTAAAACAATTTAAATAAACCTCTTCATATTTAAACAAAAAAAATCTAAATAAATTATGGGTTCTTCTAATCATGATAACTCATGTCTAAGAACAACAGACGTTAGACAGACACACAAGTAAAACATATTGAAAACTTTCTACCCCTGAACGAACTAAACTAAACCATTTAAGGCAAGACAAGATCATTACCGATCACCATGATCAATAAGCAAACATTTAAGCAAATTTAGTAAAAAAAAATCGATAAAAAAAATTGTAAAATATTTAAAGACACAGCGTCTAGTGACACCCTAAGATTGTGCATCATCAACACCACCGACCACGACATTCTAAGAATACAGCTGTTGGAGAAGCGTGGGTTAATTGTCTGTTGGTTGGTGGATCGTTGAATGTGAATAACAATTCATTTTTGAGTTTGAACTCATCTTAATTCGAGAGAAATTGTTATGAGCTTTGACAAAAATGGTTTTAAAAATTCATAAAGTAAAAACCTCATTCATGCCATTTATATTTTATTCGAAATTTATTTATATTACAATTTTATTTAATAATTTATGTGAGTGAGTGAGTGTGAGTGTCTGCTGTGGTGCATCTTTTGCTGTCCCCCTTTTTTTAATTGCTATAAAATAATTTAAAATTGAAAATAATTTTAAATTAATATTTATTTATGTTGTTAAATGAATTGATTTTAATTAGTTCTGTTTTTTTTTGTCATTTTTAATAAAAAGGAGTGAATAATAAAGAGTTGACATCATAAATCTTGAAAAGAGTTTTTTTTTTCATTTCATTAACTGGGTCAATTATTTGAGTTTGAATTTGAAATTATTTACATGGCCAAATGTTGAAGAGATTTGTTTCTTAACAACATTTTAAGTGTCTAAAACACTTCAAAACTCATTAACATTTTTTTTCACAAAACTGATTTTGTACAAGAAATACTAATAGGCCTGAGGTTAAAAACTCTGAGTAAATAGTTATAAGAAGTTTTTTGGAATAAATAAAATAGAAAATATTTTTCTAATGAAGAATTTTTTTGAAAATATAGTTCAAAACTTTTTAGGGCGAATTTTGTTTTGAATACGAAAACTGACCCTAAGTATTGTAAAATTCGGGGTTGTATTAGAGTATAATAGTTTTAACAATATTCGAGTATAATAGCTTTTTCAATAAAAAAACTCTTTTATAGAAAAGCTAGAATACATTAGTTTTTTTTCTATAATAATTGGTATAAGTATAACAGTTTTTCGATAGAAAAAATACCGTATAACAACTTTTTCTATAGAAAATCAAGAGTATAACAGCTTTATTCTACAGAAAAATTACAGTATATAGATTTTCTATAGCAAAACATGGAGTATAACAGTTCTTCAACAGAAAAATTTGAGCATAAAATTTTTCTTATATAGAAAAAATTGGAATATAACAATTTTTATATAGAATAAATAGAAGTATAACAGTTTTTTTCTACACAAAAATTACAGCATAATAAATTTTCTATAGAATAATTTAAGTATAACAGATTTTCTATAGAAAAAACGGAGTATAACAGTTTCTTCAACAGAAAAATTTTAGTATAACAGTTTTTTCTACAGAAAAATTTAAATATATTAGTTTTTCTACAGCAAAATTAGAGTATAACAGTTTTTTCTATAAAAAAATTGAAGTATAACAATTTTTTCTATAGAATAATTTAAGTATAAGCGAATTTCTATAAAAAAATGGAGTATGACAGTTTTTCAACAGAAAATTTTCAGTATAACAGAATAGCTTCTATAGAAAAATTGGAATATAACATTTTTTTTATGAAAAAATTTAAATATAACAATTTTGCTACAGAAAGAATGGAGTACAACAGTTTTTCTACAGAGAAATTAGAGTATAACAGTTTTTTTTCTACACAAAAAAAAAACAGTATAAATATTTTCTATAAAATAATATAAATTGAACATATTTTCTATAGAAAAAACGGAATATAACAGTTTCTTCAACAGAAAATTTTGAGTAAAACCATTTCTTTCATAGAAAAATTAGAGTATAACAGTTTTTCCAAATAAAAATTAGAGTATAACAGTATTCCTACAGAAAAATAGTTAATATAATAGTTTTGAAGTTGAAGTATAACAGTTTTCTTTAAAGAAAAATTTGAGTATAACAGTTTTTTTTTCTATAGAACTGTTTTGGATTATAAATGTTTTCAATATAGAAAATTTTCAATAAAAAAATGGAGTATAACAGTTATTTTTATAAACAGATGGTAGTATAACAGTTTTTCTATAAAAAAGTTGAAGTATAACAGGTTTTTAAATGGAAAATGGAAGTATATAGACCATATTTTTCTATAGCAATGTTAGTTTTTATATAGAAACTTGAAGAATACCATTTTTTCTTCAAAAAGTGGGAGTATAAGAGTTTTTTTGCAGAAAAAAAATTTGAATTTTTATAGCAAAATATGAATGTAACAGTTAATAAAGTTGTAGTATAACAGTTCTAATATAGGAATATTAAGTATACTGTTTTTTTCTATAGAAAATTGACAGTATAACAGCTTTTTCAATATAAAATATCGAGTGTAACAGCTTTTCTATAGAAAAATTTGAGTATAACGGTTTTTTTATATAGGTATACCATTTTTACTATAGATAAGTGGGAGTATTACAGATTTTTATATGGAAAATTATAGTATAAGAGTTTTTTCAACAAAAAGGATCGAGTGTAACAGTTTTTATCAAAAGTATAACAGTTATATTTTATTGAAGAAATTGGAGTAAAACAGTTTTTTATATAGAAGATTTAAATATTTCATATTTTTTATAGAAAAGTGGGAGTATAAGATTTTTTCTAAATAAAAATTGGGGTATAATAGTTTTTTATATAGAAAATTAAAGTATAACAGTTTTTTTCAATTAAATAAAATCAAGTGTAACAGTTTTTTATAGCAAAATATGAGTCTAACAGTTATTTTTTATAGAAAAAATTAAAGTATAACTGCTGTTTATATACAAAATTGAAATATACCACATTTTTTAAAGAAATGTTGGAGTATAACAGTTTTCTTTCTTAGAAAAGTTGGAGTACAACAGTTTTAATGTAGAAAATTTAAGTGTAAATGTTACCAGTTTTAAGTATACCAGTTTTTCTCTAGAAAATTTGGAGTATAACAAATTTGTCTATAGAAATATTCCAGTATAACAGTTTTTTCTATTGAAAAATTAAAGTATAACAATTTTTCTATAGATAACAGTATAACAATTTTTTATAGAAAAATTTTAGTATAACTGGATTATATCAGTTTTATGTATTGAAAAATTGGAAGTGTAATAGAACAGTTTTATTCCGAGAAAAAAACTTACCCTATTTTGACCTCCAAATCCCTTCGATTTTTAAAGGATTTTTTTCAATCAAAGAAAATTTCCACCTTTAAAATTTTATAAAATTAATGGAAAAATAACTTAAAGAAAATTTCCCAGGACTTAAATGGAAAATCTTTAAACAGATGGCCATTTGGTAGAAAAATCCTTCATAATAGTGATTTTTTGTTTGTTTAATTTATTATTGGTTTGTGGTCACATATTGAAATGTCGTCATTCGTTGTTTTTTTTTTTTTTTGGCAAAATGTGCATTCGTGATTATATAATACAACAACAAAAACACAAACTAAATTTTCAAGTACAAAAAAATTAATAAAATTAAATGGAAAAAAAGAAAAATGAAATACAAGCAGCATAAATAAAATAATACAAATAAATAAAAGAAGAAATATTGTATCACCTCCAGTAGACGACGGACGACAACAATGTTTGAATCACTAACGACGACGCGACGTCGCAGTTGACAGATGTAGTCATTTCTGATCATCATACTCGTATGATTTGTATGTTTGTGAAACGTGAAACTATATGTGCTCTAAAGAAAAGTGACGTCATTGTTAAATTGAAGATAATGAACGTGAAAAAAAGAATGATAAATAAAATCAAAACATAAGAGCTACACAAACCTACATACACACACATATGCATACATAATCATTTTATGAAATTGTACTTGTAAAAAAAATGCAAGTACTTTACTTATTTAGTGAGATTTGTTGTTGTAAATATTGATTGGTTGATTTATTTTTGTTATTTTAATCGTTTTTTCCTCTAGATTTATTGTTGTTGTTACATGCATACATATGTTTATAATGCATGTATTTTATCTGTCTTTCTATGTTTTACATTTTCGGCCATGATGTCCATTATTATTATATTTTCGTTTTATTATTAGTTTTTTTTTGTGACACTTAGTCATGTTGTTCTC